CAGTTTTAAATTTTTACAGTAAAAAACTCTCAAAAAATATCACATCTAATTTTTTGTTACAGTGAAAAATTCTCAAAAAATGTCACATTTCAGCTCGAATTGAAAACTCAAATCCGCGAAATGAACGAGACTTAAAAATCCTTATTTTTCGGGTGTCAAATTTTGAGTTGATCCTTTCAAGAATAAATGAATCATCAACTTGGGCTACTCATAATGGGCTAGAATAGACCCACATAAACCCAAGGCCCTACAGGAATGTTCTGGAAAGTACTGACCTTGATGGTGTCAGCAATTTGGTAAACCACTTGAGGAAGATATTGCTTCACTCCTTCTATACCAATGGCTTTTAAGTTGGAAGTAAAATCATTTTGACCAATGTAGAATGTGTATAGTGACTTTCCAAAAATGTCCGGTGAAGGAAGCCTTTTAGATTCTGAAAAAAAAAAAAAAAAAAAAAACAACTTTTAGGTCATGAAAATACATTATAAAATCAAAAGGGTAGTGTTTTCTCATGAAAATGAGGCAATATAATTATATGCAGATTGCACATTGTACCTTTTTTATTGGATGAGTGATGAAATTCATCAACTCTGACCTTGAATTCCTTCATTTGATTGAGCTGGATAGCTAGTGAAAATGGACTGATTCCAGTGACAAATAAGGAAGTGTTTGGAAGAAGCACAGTGGAAGCCAATGTGGCAAAATTAGCTCCATGCCTGAAATCAGATCCAATGGATTGCAAATATGGGCTCAGAAATGGTAATCCAAGAGCCTGAGCTGCATAGTTCAAAAGTGTACATTATTAATGATGTGATTAACCTTGTTTTTCATAAAAAGAAAAAGAAAGAAGGGGAAATAATCTTTTTATATAACTAAACAAGGATGCTAATTTTTCAAATCTCCCTACCAAACACACAAAAAAATCCAAACACTCAACACACACACCTGTAAAATAACGCTAATTTATACATGTTGTGCGAATCAATTTCGAGTTAAGCGTGTTGGCCC